GACATTTCACTTCTCATCCCAGAAGCTTCTTCCGTTCTTGGATGGGAAGCGAAACCTCCTCAAAGAAAGCAAAAACAAGAGAGCCCAGTTGCCTTTTGGAAAAGCACTTTTGGGACATGCATGACCTGGACGGCAGAGAATCTCGGGAGAGACGTCTCCGGGTTGTTACTTTGGGCCCAGGACGGTCTCCTCCACCCGGTCATCTCTGCCCTCCACGCCTCTCTGACCTTTCCCAAGCCCCTTGCCAGGTGAAGGGGGCCTTTGGCCTCAGCCCGGCAACGGGGCCCGGGAGCCCCCCCTCCCCCCCCCCCCCCCCCCCCCCACCTCATCCGGAGGATGCCGAGACGGAGGAGGCTGTGCTATTTAATAGCGACCTGGTGGGATTCATTGTTCCAGCTACCAGCAAGGAAGCCCATTTCATCCAGAAAGCGTATGAATTACAAAATGGGAAAGTTGATCTCACTCCAGGCCTCGTTCTGGCTGTTTTCGGTTACAGGCTTCAGTAGTGCTGTCTTCAATTAGTCTGTCTGAGGAAAGAAGCCCACAGACCTGCCTCCTCCGTCCCTACTTGGTCTTCACATCCGGCATTACCCGAAGGCTTCGGTGGGGCTCGTCAGGCCCGGCGGCCCCCAGCGCTTTTCACGGCCAGAAAGTGCTTTTATTGGCCGGCTCAGAACAGAGGCGCCCCCCCCCCCGAACCCTGAGCGGGGTCTTCCCCACGTGCTGTGTTTCCCCCAGAGGAGGCTCTTTCCTCCCTTTGCCTTGGGGGTGGGGGATGTCCTAGGAGGTCTTCTGCTGCTGCTGCTGGATTTCCTGGAGCCGAGAGGGGAAGGTGAGCTGGCCTCTCGTAGCTCCTCTCCCCTGCCTGGAGGGTGGCCAGCAGGGAGCATCCAGGTCCAAGGCCGTGGCGACTTCCAAGAGCTGCCCTGCCGCCTCCACCCTTCTTCCTGGGGTCCTTGGCCAGGAGGGCGTGAGGCATGAGGGGGCACCTGGCCAGAGGCACCTGGCGGTGGGGAAGGGGCAGGCATGGCGGGAGCTGGGAGGGAAGGCCGCCTGGTCTGACCTTCCTCCTCAGCCCCCCCTCCCCCCCCCCCCCCCCCCCCCCCCCCCGCCAGATGAGCCATGTTGTTTCAGAGGGGGGGTGTTGCATTTTAGGTGCAGGAGCTGCACAGGTGTGTGAAGCTTAGGCAATCTCAATATTTTTTTTTTAAAGATCAGGGACAACCTATATAACTTAGGGTTTATATTGCTATGTGTGTAAGTTATATGTAAGCCTTCGGCTCCACTCCCATAAGTTTGTTTTTCCCCATTGCTTTTTTTACTTAATTAGTAAAAATGAACATCATTGAAAGCCTTCCGATATTGGCAGGCGGTTGTATTTTTCTTGGAGGTCCTGAGCCATTTTCACAGCAACGGAGGAGGAGGAGGATCCGTCCATTAACGGCTTCGCCTGCTCCCACTCAGCCTCCCTCGGCCTGGGGGGAGTGAAGGGCTTTGTATCCCCTTTCTTGCTGAAGGACGTTTGAGGGTCTGTTTCCTGAAGTTCTCCGACTGGGGGGGGGGGCTCCTTTGGGCCTCTGGTAACCCCTCCTCCTTTCTCCTGCTTGAATAATACGTGAGCGTCCCCCCCCCCCCGCTATTCCCTTCTCTCCGTTTGCTTGTGACCCAGCGAAGAAACTTGGCCAGCGCCAGCTAAGGGTGGCTGCCCTTCCCAGCGCCTGTCTTGTCTCCGCTCTTCCCGAATAGGGCTGCAGGGGGTCCGCAGGGGATCCTTCCCGTGAACCGGGGTGGTCCGACTGCAGCCTGTGAAGGGGAGGGAACTTCCTGCTCCCCTGTTTTATTCCTCCCCTTTCCCTTTAGGGCATCTCCTCCCTTTCCCTTCCCAGATCGCTCACCTTTCTTCTCTGCTTAAGAAATATCCAGAAGTCCTTTGCATCCTTCCACCCTATCCTCCCCATGCGCCACATGGAGATGCCAGCCATTTGGCCCCGACTGGGAGGCAGTTTTCAACCTGATTATGGGAGAGGTTTTGCAGGGTGGCAAACTGGCAAAGAATTTAAAATCAAAAGGGGGTTACTAAAGTTGACACTGGTTGTTAGCTGAACAAGGATTTCTGCCACAGTGCCGTGTATCTGAGCCTGTCTGGGATAGTCTGTCATTTTCCAAAGTGATCTTCCTCCGTGTGTCACCCTCCAGATGGTGCTGAATACACGTCGGGAATTGTGACCTAGAACCCACATTCCCAGCCAGCCTGGTCCTTGGGGGAAACTGCTCTGAAAGAATGGAGAATATCCAGTGAAATGCCCATTCTGTTTTGCTTCTTATATAATAACGTGGATTATGGCTTACAGACTCTTCCCCACTTCGCTCATGATAAGAGTTTCTGCCTCCAGAGCTTGAAAGAATAACAGAGTCGGAAGGGACCTTGGAGGACTTCTAGTCCAACCCCCTGCCCAGGCAGGAGACCCTGTCCGGTCTCTTCCTAAAAATCCTCCAGGGACGGAGCACCCACAAGGCAACTTCTGTTCCACGAATTAATTGTTCCTACTCTCAGGAAATTCCTCCTCCGTTCCAGGTTGCTGCTTCTCTCCTTGGTTAGTTTCCATCCGTTGCGTCTTCTCCTGCCCTCAAGGGTTTTGGAGAGTAGGTTGGCCCCCTCTTCTCTGGGGCAGCCCCTCAAATATTGGAAGACTGATATCAGCCTGTGCTGGCCGCTGGGATAGACGGCCATGGGCAGACGGAAAGGGTTTCTGAGGAATGAGACTTATATTTCCGTTGGATCTCTAAAGCCAAAGTTTGTTGTTTGTGCCAGATTTGGCCATTCCAGTTGTTGCACATGAAGTAATGAACTGCCTCTGTTTGTTCTAGGTTTTGATATAATTACCATGCTTTAATTGGCTTCAGTAATCCTTATCAGAAGTGGGTTCATTTCAGAAACCCGAATTTACAAGTGTAGGATTTGTGGCCTAAGAAATAGGTGCAGTTGTTTGGGTGCCACAATTCTCTTAGTGAGCATATAGGTGGATGTAATTGAATCCTCCCCACCTTCCTGCTGGATGAACCCTGGTTTTTCCCCTTTGGTGAAGCACATGGTGCCTCCAAATGACAAACGTCTTCACTTTTTCTCAGAATAAACCCTTTTTTTACTTGGGGCGTCTCTGAGAGCCACTTGGTGGGTTCTGTTTCAAGGCACCAGGCTAGAAACCCCAAGTTCTGACTCCACCTTTGGCTTAGGCATGGAGCTTAGGAAATGGCATGGCTTGTAGACACCCAAAAAACCCAGCCACATAACTCTGGTCATGCAAAACTGGAGGCCACTTTGCCATTGCCACTTCAGACTGTGCCATTTGAAGGTACAAGTGAGTATTTAAACCAGGGGTGGGCAAGTATGGCCTCTTTATGTGGTCCCCCCCCCTGCCCCCATGACTGACTCGGGGATTCATGGAGGATCCATAGTTACCCACCCCTGGCTTAAATGATGCTGAGGTTGTTGCAGGTTAAATTGGCCAAATCCTTAGATATGGCAGCAGCTGCTCTGAATGTTAATGTTGTTGTATTTTTTCCTCAAGAGGCTAACATTTCTGTGGTCTGAGAGCAAGACGTAGGCAGGCTGGATGTGACCGGTCAGAGCTTCCTCCCCTTGCCGTCCAGCCCGGCCCTCGGCCTGGCAGAGGGAGGCCAAAGCCCTCTTTGCCCCTGGGTCAAGGCTTGGGGACTGCCCTGCCAGCCTGGATGCGGCCTCCCTCTTTCCCCCCGCAGGAGCTTTCCAGCTCCCCTGTCAGAAGCGGAGACGTCGGCAGGCGATGGTCTTTAGGGAGACGAGGCGTCTCCTGAAGGGCCACCAATGTTGATGCCTGGCGCCTCCCGAGAAACCTCCAGGTCTCCCCCTGAGTTTAAGGCTTACCTGGCCGCTGGGTTTCTCTCGGGGTCTGAGGGGCACCGGGACTCTTGGGCGGGAGCGGCAAAGTTTTGGAAGCCCTTCTGAGCTCCCTGACAATACTGGGAAATCTCCCTCTTTTTAAAGCGGGGTCCACAGAAGCAGCAGCCCAGGGCTTTCCCCCTGCATCATCCCAGCCCCCCACCCCCGCCCCAAACTCCCTCCGGGCGCCCCCACCCCAAACCAGGCAGCTCTTGACCAGCCCTTCTCTTTTGCCCGAGGTTGCTCAGGCTGCCCCCCACGTGGTTTGGCCAAAAAATGCAGGTACAGATAGTCCTTGGCTTACAGCAGTTCGTTTAGTGACTATTCTGAGTTAACAATGGCACTGTGAAAAAGGGACTCACGACTGTTTTTCACTTACAACCGTTGCAGCCTCCCTGTGGTGGTGTGATCCAAATTCAGGCGCTTGGCAACTGACTTGTACTTATGACGGTTGCAGTGTCCCCGGGGGGGGGTGGGGGGTTGTCACGTGATCCCCTTCTGCGGCATCTTGTCCAAAGTAAAGTCAAGGGGAAGCCAATGGATCCAACCGCAGTGTCACTGACTTCACAACTGCGGTGGTTCACTCAGCAGCCGTCGAAAGCAAGAAAGCGTGGTTGTAAGTCGAGGACTGCCTGCCCTTGGCCCTGGGCTTCCTGTGCTAAGAGGCGCTAACCCTTTCTGAGCCCCACGGGGGGGGGGGGGGGCAGTGACCCTGGGGGACCATTTCAGATCCGCTGGAAGGAGCAGTCGGAACCCAAAGCCTAGATGGGAAGTTTATGCTGTATCCTTACACAAATATCACTAGGGAAACAACGTGGGTTTTATATTATTATTATTATTATTATTATTGTTAATATTATTATTACCGAGGCAGGAAAGTCCAGCCAGTGCCCGTCCAGAGTTCTGACAGCGGGGCAGCCCGAAACTCCCGGAGGAGCGCTCTTCTCCGGGCCCCCGAGGATGTGGGTCAGTTGGGACGCCGGTCCCCGGTGAGCTGGAAGGAGAAAGCCTCCCCTTCTGTCCTGGGAACTGGCCCTCCGGCACCCGGCCCTGGGCCTCTGGGCTCGCCTGCAGATCCAGCCGTGGGGCTTTCCGTCTCTCCCGGCTGCCCTTCAGTCCGTCCCGGGCAGAAGCTCCCGAGGGCAGGGCAGGGGGGCCCCGTCTCTCCATTGCGCCCTCCTGGGTCCTGCCGCTGCCTCCAGCATCGCCTCCACCACCACCACCACCACCATCCGGCTTCCACCAGGGCTAACTCCGAATCGCGGTCTTTCTGTCGCGGTCTTTACTCTGCGGAGGGACAGAGGGGGGGAATTAGGCAGAGCCACCCAGAACCGGCCCCGGGCCTGGAAGCAGCCAAGAGCCACCTGGCAGCCAGGTGGGCAGCAGGCAACACTGATCAGCAAACAGGCCAACAAACAGCTGGGCTCTTGCCCCCCCCCCCCCCCCCCCTCTGCCTGCTGCCTCTTCCACCCCACCCCCACCCCTCTTGGGCCCAGGTCTGAACAGTGAGAGACACCCCCCCCAGTGACCACATGGCTTCCAGAGCTGAGGGGGCTGCCAGCTGCCCCTCCCCCCCGACTGGCTTCTTTCGACCCCCACCCCCCCTTGGAAGAAAGTGGCTCTCTGTCCTTTGCTCGCCTGCAGTTAGGAAGCAACTTGGGGTGTGTGTGTGTGTGTGTGTGTGTGTGTGTTGGTGGAGAGTTGAACTGGAAGTCTCTGGGCTGGGCTATGGCCAGAGTTTCCCTGGCTGGTCATCATTTGGGGGTCTTCAGAGGTGGATCAGGGTTGCTCTGCAGGCAATGCAAACCTCCTGAGGCAACTTCTTCAGGGCTGGGGGTGGGCCTGGGGTCTGGAGGCCCCACAGGTGGGGTGAACGGCCAAATGGCGGGCGGGGGGGGGGGGGGGTGTTGTTAGTGGGCAACCCCGTCCTTTGCTAAAGGGGGGAGGGCGAGTCCAGGAACGGCCGCATTGAATTTCCCAGATGTTCAGGCCCCAAGAGCCCTCTGGCTGTCTGGAGAGGAAACGGGGGATCCGGGAAAGGCTGCCCCTTTTTCCCCCCCCTGCTCCCCCCAAAAGCAGGAGCAGTCAATTAAGGGGGCTCCACAGCTGGATTCCAGGTGCCTCTGGCCCTGCTCCTGAAGCGCTCAGTTCAGCCTGCGGGGCTCCTGAGGGTTGGTGCCTGAGGGGGGGGGGGGGAGAGTTGGGGGGCTTTGCCCAAGGAAAGGGGCCCCGGGCCAAGGCGCTCTAGTCCACCCAAGCTTGCTCCGCTCTTCCTCTAAGGAGGGGGCCCCTTCCGGCTCCTGCCAAAGATGGGGAGCCAGAGGGAGGCTCTGCCCTTGAAGCCGCCCGCATGCCAGCCCCTCGCACGGCTCCTTTGGCACCCCAAGGCTCTGCAGTGGGAGAGGAGGTGCGGGGGGGGGAAGAGCCCTTGAGGGGCTCCCAGTGCTCTTCGGAGCACGGCCGTCCAGGGGCTACAAGCTGGCCCTTGCGGGAGCCCTGGAGCTGGAAGGGTCCAGAAATCCCACCACCTGGTCTTGCTGTGTATGGGGGCCTCCACCCCACCCCCAACAGCCCCGTGAATGCCTGGCTCCTCTGGACCTCTGGAGGAGCAGCTGCCGCCTGGGTGGTGGAGATCAGGCCCCCTTGACTTCAAAGTGGGGGCAGAGATTCCTGCTGTGAAAGAAGCTGCTAATTCACCCGGAGGTGTGAAGTCCGTGGGAGGCCCGGCCCCAGCTGTGCTCCCTGCTCCCAGCCAGCCCCAGGGAGGATTCCCTCCCACCTCCGGTCAGGAATCTGTTCAGGGCCCCCAGAGGCCTTGCGCATCCCCTGGAGCCCCGGTCCCCACTTCCAGGAGCCTCTCTGGGGTTTTCTCCCACCCTGGCGGGGCCCCGGGGTCTCTCTCAGTGGGAGGGCAGAAGCCTGAGAAAGAGGGAATGAGCTGGAGGGCCGGAGAAGGGTCCCTCCCTCCTCTTTCCAGGACTGTGAGCAAGAGCGGAATTATTTTTAAGGGGTGGGGTAGAATTGTAGTATTCTAGGCTCTTCCTGGATATATATATTTATAAGGATTTATACCCCTTGTAGGGAGCATTGTGGATGAAATAGTTAAAGGGCAGATAATAGGGCCAATAGGAGAAAGGCCGCTTTGCTTATTCTCAGGGGTCGTTTTGCTTCCGAAATGCAGCCTTGCAACCTTGAATTGGCGCCTCTGTCACAGTAGCTGGTCACCATTTGAACACGGGAGGCCCAGCAGCTGCAACCGCCCGTATGGTGTGTTGGTGAGAGAAAGCGTGACTGCTGCCTTTGCCACAAAAAGAGAAAGGAAAGGAAAAGGCCGCCCCTAAAATACCCAAAGAAGCACGTGGCGGTTAAAAGGACGTTCTTGCACTTTCTGAGCCAGTTTCAGGCATGGAGGATCCTTTGTGGAGGCCTAGTAGTCAGGCAGCCTTGGCCTCTGAGAACCAATAGTAGGTGAACGCAACTGAGGGGCGCCTGAAATAGTCCACGCTGCTCCCTTGCGAACATCTGAATCCATTCGGTGGTTGTCTACAAGTCCTTTCGGGACGGCTGCACTTGAACTCTCGGCCGTCTCTGAAGGAGTCCAAACCAAAGGCTTGGCATTGATTGGCTAGACAGCATTTGTTTTAAAAAATAAATAAATAAGTTGCTAGCTACTGGATTAAAAGTATAACCCGTGTATTCCTAAAATGCTGTGAAGGGACCAGAAATAAGGTGGGAAATGGCGACCTAGAAGCCGGTCCTCAGCTCTTGCCCTCCCCCCACCCAGAGGGGAGGAGGCTCGGAGGAGAGCAGGGCTGCGCGTAGGCCCTTAAGTTGCTGCATGAAGGAGGGAGTGAAGGTCTAGCAAAAAATAGTATCCAAAATGAACAAAATCGCTTTTCCCTTTGGAAAAAAGGCTATAAGCCACATAACGCAGCAACTGCTGGTTATGGCTCTCTCTCCTTTTGCGCAATTAATCTCCATCTGGAGATCAGGCTGGGAGGGAATTCCGTACCCGAAAAGTTAGCCGGGCCCCCCCTGCTCTGCCCATCCCATCGTTCCTCCTCTGTCCTCCATCGGCTGCTTGTCCCCCCCTTCGGAAGGCCCGTCTGTGCAGGAGCTCCCTCCTAACACCCGCCAGGCTTCCTTGGGGAAGTCCAAGGTCCAAGCGCCCCTTCTGTGGGCAGAATGACCCAGGTTCAAGCCCCGGCACCTCTCCTGGGGTGTCCTGGAAAGACCTGAGGCGGTCAGGGAGGGGATAAGGCGGGCCTGGGGGAATCCTTGACCTGGCCTGCTCTAGGGCGGCTTCCTCGACTTGTGTCTGCAGCTGTGGCCCCCAGGCCGACTCCAGCAGCAGCAGCCGAGGGATTCTGGACTCTTGGCCCGGCCTGCTTTCCATGAAACGCCCAGCTGCTCTTTGACTTTTCTTTCCTGTTAAAAAGTGGAGGGTGGGTGGGAGGGTGCTACTTCAGTGAGGTGGGCAGCTGTATACACCCGATAAATAAAATAAATTCTGCCAGAACTTGCTGTCCTTGGTCCCTTCAGGCCCAAAGATGCCCCAGCTTTGAAGTCAGCCAGTTAACTCCAGCTGGGTTTGCTGAGCTAAATAGGGCCCCCCCCCCCCCGTGTTACCCCGGTTAAGGGGCAGCTCCTGGTTTGGGGCTGTTTTTAGTGACGAGGAGGGCTGCCCAGGGGTGTATTGTTGGGGGGCCAGTTCTCAGCTTCTGCCTGTGTCACTTTGATGGTGAAGAGGGGGAGAGATCTGACGTCGGCAGATGGTCTTTCTTTCAAACCCAGCCTGCCCTGTTCCTTAATCCGGATCACAAAGAAATCCCACTTCTTTCTCCTTGCTGGAGAGCTGTTCCTTCTTCCAACCCTCCATATGAGATCATTTCAAAACCCTTATTTGCGTCCGCTGGGCAAAGCAACTGGGCGGGAGGGGATTGACACTGGCAGAGTTAAGGAATGCCGTTGCAGAAGAGCCAAGAGAGGTGCACTTCGCGACGCTCAGTTGCAGGATGTTATCATTCATGAATTGTTCCAATTGTAGACATTGGTTGGGAAGACCGAGCTAATCTACTTTCACGTGGGTCAAACGGTTGCAAAAACAAGCTGGTTTTCCAAATAGGAATCTTTCATAAAATAGCATTTTATGGGTTCCTGGGGGGGGGGGGGAGGCATTGCTCTTTCTGGGTGATGGATGTTGCCTTCTGTGACCTTTGGGAGGTCCTCTGCTCCGCAGATGGGCTACAGAAGCGCCTGCCCAGGAGCAGCGAAATAGGTTTCTGTTGCAAATCTCCCTTTTCACACGGAAACTCAAGAAGGTGCGTTTTCCCTGCCTCTCGTCTCTGCAGCAGCCTCCATTCCCGGAGGCCGCCGTGCGTATTTCCAGTGTGCTGTTTGCTCGAGGTGAAGAGCAGTGCGTGCCCACGTGGGCGCTTCTCCCTGCACGCCTGCCCTTTTGAAGGGCGGACTGGAACTCTGGCCGGCGAGGGCCGTTTTCCTTCCGCAGCCGGACTGGAAGGGGCCGCGGGTTTGGGTCTTCTGGGGCTTTAGCAATTGGGCTGCTGCTGCGGAGCTCTGCTCCTGCCCCAAATTCTTGCTCAAATTCCTCAGGAGACCAGCTTGCAGAGAAAAATGCACCCCCTCCCAGGCGCAAGATCCCAACGCTCACCATGTAGAGAAGCACAATAAACACACGTGGAACTTTTGTGTCTGTGAGAAATGAGCCCTGAAGCCACAGCCTCCTCTAAACGATTACGGTAGCTGCTGCCTTGCAAATCCACGCCTGGGCCATTTTCAAGAAGCGGCCGACTTTTCCTCCTAGTGCAAGGAGAGCGAGGGCCCCCCTGCTTCAGAGGAGGTTTATGAGGCGCCTGTGTGCCGTTTGCGTCCCGTCCTCTTGAGGGCTGAGGGTGCCGGGGTTCAGGAGACACAGGGTGTTTTTTAAGAGGACCAGGACGCTTGTCCGTCCCACTGAGACGCCCTTCCTCCTCTCGGATCTGCAGGGTCTGGCATGACGGGCTGTGCTTCTCTCTTGCTCTTTGCCCCTCTCGAAGGCTGAGCCTGGAAGGAAAGGGCGCCTGCTTTGCCCCCCACCCCCGTGCTGCTCCGGGGTTCGGGTAGGGATCCACTCGCGTTGGGGCGCTTGAGAGAGAGAGAAGTGGGGGGGGGCCACGGGCTTTCCTTTCCACAAGCAGCCTGCTTGCTTGGTTCGTGTGAAGCATCTCGTCCGGGATGAGTAAATGGAGAATTGAGGTCACCCACCCAGACTGGCCAAGATTGAATTCTGATCATTTTTCTTTTTTCCTCGGACGCCTCTCTACGTCCTTTTCTCTTGTCTGGCTCCCACCGCACTTTCGTTGTATGTTAACCGAAATGGGCCCATCATCAAGACTGAGGAAATATTTCGGTTGCCCTGTTTACACAATCACATCCACGGGTCGTAATCTGGGGGCCTCTGGGAGTTGTGGTCCGAGAAAGAATATCCAAAACGGTCAATGGGGAAATGCATTTTTTTTTAAACTTTCAATATTTTTAAATAGTTTTTTTTTTTTTAAATCACAGCTAAAACCTTCAAGGATAGTTACAACCGAAAGAGTGCCAGGTGCGTCTGTTGCCTCTCCCTGTTTTGGCTTTAACAATGATTGACCTTCTTGGCTGGAAGTCTCGCTGTGGTGGAGGGCCTGGCACTCCGGTGTTTTCAGCCGTACGGGGGGGGGGGGGGGGGGG